CTGGCTGAAATAAGCTCTTTGCACCAAACCCCCTCAGCCAGAGGTGCTCAGCTGCTTCCCTCCCCATCACAGGGAAAACAAAGTGCATCAATCAAGCCCCCACAGGTTAGTTTGGCACACACCATCCCAGTAAATCCGTGTTTTATCTTAATTCTTCCATGTGGAGCAGGAAACACCATCTACCCCACGCTGCCCATTCATGGGAAGCTTGTGCAAGAGGGGGCCCAGCATGGAGCACCGGCATTTGCTCTTCCCCAGGACGTGGGAGGGATGGGAGCATCCCTGGAGCCCGCTCTGCTGGCTGGCTTCCCTTGGCTCCCTCACTGGAGCGGTATGCAGCTGCAAGCAGGCTCCCAGGCTGGGCTTTCGCCTCTCCCACGGGTCCACGCCTGCAACCAGCCCCTCAGGGTGATGCCTGCCCGGTAAAACAATTTTCTAGCTCTTTGGCTGCAATGTATTGCAAGGACTGGTCATAAGAGGAGCTTCCAGTGCAGCCAGGAGGGAAAAGCATCTCACAAGCGTACCTGCTGTGCCCTGCAAGGGCTCGGGTAGCATGTGTGCGAGCAGAAAAAAATAGGACGTACCATGCAGAATCCATACGCAGCATCCCATGAAGGTGGAAAGCGTCCATCCCCTGGTCCCCATGCCTCAGGCCTCCACACAGGCAGAGCACTGGGAAGCTCAAAGGGAGGCAAAAGTGTTGAGGAACAGCTCCGTTTGTCCGTCTGTCCCTGCCTGTCTGCCTCTCCTGCAGAGCTGGAGTCCTGCAGGTGCAATCCTGCTCCTGCTCCCTCCTATTTATAGGGATGGCAGAAGGAGGCAGGTTGCAGCCGCCACCCCCTCCCGCCCCCGGTGCTTTCCCTCCAACGCCCCTGCCACCATTCCCTTCCCATGGAGCCTTCCCCTTCCCAAGGGCTGGATGCCCGGTTCAGCTGGAGCATGGGTTGAGGGTTACACAAAGGCCACCCTGCAGGACCCTAGCCCCCCAGGGACCTGGGCAGAGCCCAATGCAGCTCCCTGGGCCACCAGCACCAGCTGGTGAAGCTGAGCCTGGAGCAGGGCACTGCCAACAGTAGCATGGCAGCCACCCCACAGACCCCACGGGACCTGGTCCCCATGCAGGGGAGGGGACCACAGAGCAGCGGGTGGTGATGACAGGGCAATGCCAGCTGGTGCCACCATTCCTGTGAGGACACCATGGGCACTAAAACCAGCAGCTGAGCCATGGCTCAGCCCGGGCCAAGGCAGGACACAAGTCTGCACTTGGCTGAAGGCTTTCCCAGGAGCAGAGGTGAGTTATAAAGCAGGGAGAGGTATGTCTGGGGGCAAGCCCTGGGGTGTCAGCCAAGGCCCCCAGCACTCAGCTGCAGCTGGGAGTACTGGGGATCCCCATCCAAAACCCCAGCATACCCCAGCGAGATTTTAAACCTGCACCTCAGTATGGGCACAGCGGTGCTGGGGGGGTGCTGGGAGGGGGTGAATGGGCCAAGGAAGCTCCTCTGCCAGGTGGGACCAGCATCCCCAGAGGCTAGAGCAAGAAAAGACGCAGCCCTGAACCCCCTCCCCTGCTACAATGATCCCCTGGGTCACTTTACCCTGATCCCCTCGGTCGCTTCACCCCTATGTCTCCCTTTCCCCCCTTCCTCTAGAGCAGCAAGTCCTGTCCGCCCCCTTGAAAGCTGCTGCCAGCTCCCCCATGAACAGCATTATGCAAAACCCCACCACTACACGGTTTTGTAATCAATTAAACGCTTCTTAACCAGAAATGCCCCCAGGCAACTCCTGCAAAGTGTTATTAGGGCTGTTAGGCAGTACACAGTGTCCCACCAGAGCTGGCCTCCATTGGGCAGGCAGCAGCAGCAGGGCACACCGAGCAACACCCCGACCCACTGGCCAGGCAGCGTGGTTGGGGGAAATGCCAGGAGAGGCCAAGTCACAGCCAACAAAAACCCATCCTGTAAACCCACGCATTACCCCCGGCAGCGGGAACAGGGCACAGACGGTAAATCAGGGGAGAGCACTGCTCGCCTGGAACGAACACCCGCCCACCGAAAATGCCGGGGGGAGGACGGGCCCGTACAACCAGCACTGCAGATCATGGGGTGACTGCCCAGCCAGTGACCACCCGAGTGGCCACCATACCTGGGCCAATGGAGGATTGGAGAGATGCAAACCCGCTGTGGGAGAGTCATTCCTGCCTGTGCTGACGATGCTGTATTGCTTTGGAAAGCGGGGAATATGTGCTGACACTGGAGAGAGTTGCTCCAGCTGGTGTTTGAGGTGCAAAACATGGTGGGAACCACAGGGATTGTTGCAAACTTGCTGCTCAGCATAGGGGAAAATAACTCAGCTGAAGCGAGGTGCTTCCAGCCCACCTCACCCACAGCCCGCCTGCAAGCTCCTGCCTGTGCTGTGCTGGGACCAGCACCATCTGGAGACCCTTGTGACCCATGCTGTCTCCAGAAAGACCCATATCCCTGCTGCTCCTCCAGCAGAGTCACGGGGGTGACAAAGCGAGCTCATCCCTCTGCTCTGGCATTAGTACAGCTTCCCAGGAAAGCCTGTAGCCACCATGGGTCATCCCTCGTCTTGAGGATGGTGCCCTGTTCCCACCCTGGGAAGGGGCTTTTCATTGATCCTTCTGCTACACCTGAAACCAAGGTCTCAGTAAGCTGCTGGTTCCTGCAAGGGTAACCGTCATGCGTAGTTATCAAGGACCGAAGCATTGTATGGGCACCAGAGCCCCTCAGGAGCCTGCAGCCAGAGGTCAATGCCGTGAATCCCAGCACCTGGGGGCTCTGCACCATCTAGCATGGCATGGCATGGTCCAGCATGGTGCCTTATCAGCCTTCCTGGAATTAATGGTCTGGTTGTTCCAGTCCTGTGGAGAACCGGGCATCTCCTACCAGCACCGCTCCAGCCTCCTGGCAAGGGCATTTGGAGACAGCTCAGGGGTGGTGGCGGTGGGGGGAACTGGGTTATCCATCAACCCCGCAGGTTCTGGATGACTTGGCAAGCCAGGCATGTTGCAACACCCTCCTGCCAGACAGCAGGAGCCGAGCTATAGCCAGCAGCAGGGGTGAAAGGGAGGGGGACAATTGGAAGGGACACCTGAGTCACAAGTGACTCGAGACACGCACCCCATGATGCTGCTGGGCCCTCCAAAGGTGACAGTCCTGCTGGGCACAGGGTCAGCTCCTTTGGACGATGCTGATAGATGGGGAGCGGGTTACAGCGAAGAGGCTGAGGAATGATTTGCGGGCTGGGAAAGCAGTGGGACCCAGATCTGACCTCCCAAGGTCGCTCTGGCCAGGGGTCCATGGCAGGCAAGCAGCCATGTGCTGAAGGGAGCAGCCAGCATCCTCAAGGATGACAGGCACGAGAGCATGGGTGGTGTCAGGTGCCTGTCAGAGCTCTGTGTCCCCAGCCCCCGGGCAGTGCCCACTGTCCCCATGGGAGGCATGTCCCCGCACCATGTCCCTCTTCTCCATCCCAGGCTGGGGGGCAGAGGGGCTTAGCGGGATCGGAGCATCTCCTCCCACTGCCGCCCCCCCGACCACAATAACGGTGGAAGGCAGCCATGCTGGCAGGGGACAGCGAGTGCCCCAGTCACCTTTTCATCCCAGCACTTCAGGACCTTTTCCTCCCTTTGTGACGCAGTTTGGCTCCATTACCCTGGCCTTGGCTCCCGGCCATGTCCTGGGGTCTGAAGTTATGGATTCAACAGCCGGAGAAAGCAGCCTGGTGGGACGTAGCGTGGGAGGACTCTTGGCCTGGCTCCACGGCGTAGGCAGAGCACGAGGATTTCTTTCCCAGCACCCCACCAGGCATCTGGCACGGGTACCCCTTCCAGCAGGCTTTGTCCTGCTATCCAGCTATCTGCCCGGGCGCTAAGGGACCTCTCTTGGTGCTGACATTTCCAACAAGCCCTCAAAAGACAGGCAGCATCCTCGAGAGCAAAGGGGCAAGCCTGCGATGCAAAGGGCATGCCAAACAGGAGCAGCATGATGAGCTGCCTGGGCTCAGCCTCCAGCCCCAGCCCAGCCTCTCCCAGCCCCTGCGAGCCGGTGGGCAGACGGGTGATCCCAGGGTGCCCTTCCCTGCCCTGTCCGGCTGCTGGCTCCTTCCCAGCTGGGTGACAACTTGGGGAGCCCGGGAGCCATCCCTGGGTTTCTCATCCCACAGCCCCATGCGCCCCCTCCCAGCCCTCCCAGTGCTGGGGCGGCACGGACTGCCAGCAAGGAGCAGGGATCAGCAGAAAATAACCCCCAACAAGCAACACGGCTATTTTGCTAATTATTTCAGTTTTCAACCTCCCAGTGAGGTGACTTGCTTAGGCTAATAATTGCTTCAGTTGGATTTTATCTGGCTAATTAATCAGTTAATAAATGACTTTGCTGCAGGGGGACAGACGTTGTGGCTGTCTCCTTAGCTTGGGACTGGAAAAAAACAGGGAAGGAGCACAGTCCACGGGATTTCCATGGCTCCATGGTGAGCACAGCTGCCCCGGTAGCCGTGGGGTGTCATGGGGCAGAGAGCACCAAACCGGGGATCCCCAGCCTGTTGGGATGCAGAGCTGTCCTTGGGAAGATCTGCAGCAGCCCCTACCAGGAGGGGACAGCCCTGAGCCCGTCTCTCTGCAGCAAAGCTTTTGGGACTCAGTTTTCCTCGCCGCCACCTCTGCTAGATGGCGAAGCTGAAAACTAAGGAAGGCAACTTGGAAAAAAAGAAGTCATCATCTTTGCCATGGAAAACATGGGATTTCCCTTTACTGCCCAGCCTTCGTTGGCACGGGTGTGCTCCTCCATCGGTGCTACCGCAGGCGAGCCAGGGAGAGCCAGTGTGCCACTGACTGTAGGACAGGGCTCGGGTGGGAGAGGGGTGGGGGCTTCCTCTTCTGCCTCCTTCCCAGAGCCACCCCAGGCTCCATCTTGGCCCACTCTGGATGTGAAGCAGCCATGGAGCACCTCTTGAAGACCTCAGGCACCACAGCCTCCCCAGGTTGCAAACCTCAGGGGTCACCAGCACTGAGCTCCCCAGTACCCTGGGCACAGCGGTACCAGGGGCTCCAGGTCCCCTTTCTCTCATCCACTGGTCCCCAGGGTGGCTTCTGTGGCCAAGACAGCTCAGTCCCAGCTGTAAAAGCCCAGCCCCCGCAGGCTTCCCTCCTCCCAGCCCCCCAGCACCACTGGTGGGGTCTCCACCGTGGGCACCAGGCCTGGTGCAGGGTGGTGGGAGGGCTCAGGCTCTACAGACAGGCTGTGGGAAGAGGCAGGGGGGGCACTGGGGGTCCTCTGGGGGGGGGCAGTGAGGGACAGGGGGTCCCAGGTTCAAGAGGAGCTGTACAGGTTATCCCAAAGGGCTACACCACCATGCAGTAAGGAGTTGGGAGCAGAAGGCTTGCAGTCCACGCGGGTGCCGGCCGGGCAAGAAGCAGCGGTCAGATCTTGCTCTTCCCTCGCCACTTCACCTCCAGGCCGGCGCATGGAAATGCCATTTGCAGGTCCGTGTGGAGCTGGGGGGAGAGGACATTCGTCAAACCGCGCCGGGAGGGTCTCCTACACCCGCTCCCCACCAAGGAGGGGCCTGATCCTGGACCACAGCAGCCAAAGGAGGGTGTCCTCTTCATCTGGAAGGGTTCCAGGTGACACTGAATGCCAGACCGAGCCGCTTGCCTCCCCACCACCTGCCTGACCCCCTCCCTGGCTGGCTGGACTGTGGCTGGCAGATGCAAAGGGGCACCCCCTCCCAGCACACCTCACCTTGGACAACACCAGCTGCTGCACCGTGGTGTTCCCCAGGCCCAGGGGGACAGTTACCCGCAGCGACAGGAAGAGAGATGCATCTAGGGACAAAAAATGTGGCTCTGGTTATTGCCCTTGAGCCTTGGGCTGCGTCAAAGGATCTGGGGGTCTCTCCCCAGGATTGCTGGCACAGACACGGGACCTCCTCCTGTTAACCATGTCATAGACACCCCACACTGTCAGGAGAACAACCCTCCAGCTGTACAGCAAACCACACATCACACAGAGCATCAATGCCCCCGTATTGAGAGCACAACAAAAGCAGTGGGGCTCCAGGACCCCTGCACTGGCCCCTGGAAGCCCAAAGCCAGTGGTGCTGGGGGGGTTGGTGATGCTCACAGGGCACTGCACTTACTGGTGTTGGACGTGGTGGTGGGGCAGACAGGAGGTGTTGGCGTCATGTTTGCAGGGGTGCTGATGGTAACCTCTGTGGTCTGGGTTGAGTCGGTGGTGGGTAAAGAGGTCTCTGTGTCTGGGCAAAGCAACGTTATATTAGCACTATTGGCAGAGAGGTGCAGGATGCTCCTACATCTGGGGACAAACCGAGCCTCAATAAAGCCACCTATGTGAAGCCACCTACACAAAGCCACCCAAGAACATGCACAGCACCCCTGTGGGGATTTGTCACCCTGACCATGCCCCTGCCTTCCAGGCGCCCCATGGCTGCACCCACCTGTAGCTGCACTGGACATCCCAGATACTGTCGGGGTGCCTGGGGTTGACACCACAGTCGGGGTGGAGATACCAGGGGTGGTCTCAGACATGGTCTCAGCTGACTGGCTGGGAGAGGGGATGCTCTCAGGAACCCCTGTGCTGATAATGGGGTTGGCCGTGGGGTCTGCCAGGGTTGTGAAGGGCTTGGCTGAAGTGTCTGTCGGTTCTGGTGTGGTGGGAGGAGGCCCGGTGGGAGGTGAGGCACTGCCAGTTCCCGGGAATGTGCTGGACCTCTCCGGGTCTGTTTCAGGGCTGGGGGGAGGGAGGGTGGCTGCGGTGGTGGAGTCAGCAGTGGGGAGCAGTGACGTGGACTCTGTGGCTGTTGAGGAGGTAGGGAGAGTCGGGGACACGGTGACTGTCACATCCATGGTGGTGGTGCCTGCAAAGAGTTTGGAGAATGAGGGCTAGTGGTGACAGGCTGAGACCATGGCTGTGCTGGGGATGGTATAGCGTCACCACCGGCACAAGCTCCCTGACAATCAGCCATGGATTGTCAGGAGCGGGGATTCACCATCCTGCATGGATCAAGCACGTGTCCACCACCTTCACCGGTGGCTGGAGGAAGTCAGACAAACCCGTCCGACGGGAAGAGCCGTGCAGGAACTGGTGACCGTGAGACGGGATGGAACCGCAGCAGCAACAGTTTACACAAAGCTCTGTGCTGCAGATAGTCAGGAACTGATAGCGCCGGGAGTAAATAGTGGCAATGGGGGAACCAGCCCCACAGAGGGGGGCATAGAGGAAGAAATCCCAGGGTGCAGCTCAGGGGTGAGTCGTTAGAGGCGTGCAGCGACCCATGAAAGCTCTGCGGGGGGGTTGAGGGATGCAGGAGGGCCATCCTGTCTGCCCGCACAGACCCCGTGCTGGAGCAGACTGTTGTCCCTGGAGGAGCCTGGCCATCTGTAACCCCCTCCAAAACGATGCACAGAACAGCCTGGCTGCCCGGGCCTCTGCCAAGGGGTGCCTGCGAGGTAGTGGCTTTGAGATGCCAGGCTGGATTCCCCAGTGATCCCAACACAAACCCGGTGAGTCTGGGTTCTGCTCACACCGGGATGGGGAACCAAGCCACAAGCCACCAGCTGCTTTCAGCCAACCCCACCAGAAATTCCCAAAGTCCCCAGCAGCCCCCCCCTTCCTGAGCTGCTCTGGGCAGCAGCTGGTTAAATGATAATGTGGAGAAGGGCAAAAGTCTGGTCCCAGCCCATGCCCAGGTGGGTGCCTGCACTGAAGGGCCTCATCCTCGAACAAAGGAGGAGCTGTAAGTCCACCCCTGCTTCCCATTTAGCAAATGGCACCCACAGTGTTTCGTCCCCTGCACCCCACAAGTGCCTGCTGCAGGCGAAGCATCCCACCACCCTGGGGATCGGCGCTCCCCACTCGCCACCCGCCCCGTGGAAAGGATCGCATCCCGTTCAGCCCTTACCCAGCGTGAGGTGAGGCACGGTGAGGCTGGCGAGGCTCAGCAGCAGCAGGGGCAGGGGCAGCCCCCCTCTCTGCCCGGCCATGTCTGGTGGGTGGGAGCTGATGCCCCCCGACAGGCACCGTTCCAAGTGCTCCCCACGCCCCAGCACTGGGCTTTCTGGGTCTCCTTTGCCCAGCAGAGAAGGAGCATCCAGGTGGGTCCTTTTACTTCCCAGGTGTTGGCAGTGAAGGGGGGATTTCCACCCGACACAGATGCTCCCAGGGACGGGTGCGATGCCCGGCAGACATCAGCTGCACGGCTGGACCCAGAGCAGCCGCGAGCAGCAGGCAGGGCAGGCTGGCAAGGCCACCGCTGCAGCAAACCAGGTCCCTGCAGCTGGGGTCCCTGCTGTCCTCTGCCTGCTGAGGGAACGTAGATGACGGGAAAAAGCCCAGGAAATCAGCCAGGCTGTGTGGCACCGTCTCTGCACGCCGCCACAGGGGCTATGTTTGGTGGTGGTGGCTCCCAGCACCAACACCCTCAGGAGAGAGCAGCCCGCTCTGTCTGAACGTGAGGAACTGGCCAAGAGAACAGGCGGCGCTCAGGAAGGGCGTGCTCCAGGCTGAGGGTTTGTCTCCTGGACTGTCTGTACAGGCATCATTTCCCCATGTCACTGCACGTCATGGCTGAAGCGCACCGCTGACAGCCAGAGCCCCTTCCTTCTCCTCAGGGTCAGGGACAAGACCAGTCAGAGGCGCCTGCAGGCACTGGGCCAGAGTACAGGCGCTCTGCAGGCGCACAGGCACGCTGGAGAACTGCCAGGGCACAGCCACCCTGCTGCTGCACAGGTAGCCCCGGGCACTGCCAGGGCACAGCCACCCTGCTGCTGCACAGGTAGCCCCGGGCACTGCCAGGGCACAGGCACACTGCTGCTGCACAGGTAGCCCCGGGCACTGCCAGGGCACAGGCGCACTGAGCGGGCATCACCAGGGTACAGGCACTCTGCTGGGGTGCTCTCATACTGTAAACATTAGGCCAGGGTACAGGTACTATGTCAGGATACAGTCGCTCTACTGGGGTACAGAGGCACCAGGGACAGGGTACAGTGTCCCTGTCAGGTTCAGGTGCATGGGGGGGGGGTGTCTTCAGGGTACAGCTGCAGCCCCAGGGTAAAGGCTTCTGTGAGAGCCACCAGGATACAGTCACACTGCTGGGACACTCGTGTGCGGGAAGGGGCACTGCCAGGATATGGCGGCTGGGGTACAGTCACAATCCTGGGGTAGAGTCTCACCGCTGGGGTACAGGTGTACTGCTGGGGGCACAGCCACACAGCCATGGCATAGCCGTGGCACAGCCAGGGTACAGCTTCACAGCTGGGGTACAGCTGGGGTACAGCTGCATGGGGTATAGCCACACAGACGGGGTACAGCTGGGGTACAGCCGCAGGGGATACAGCCGCACAGCCAGGGTACAGCCAGGGTACAGCTGCAGGGGGTACAGCCACACAGCCAGAGTACAGCC